TTTAAACCCTTTTTAAAACATTGAAGGGAAATTTTTCCAAAGTTAAAAACCCAGGAAAATAATCCCCAAAATTTTAACATTTGGGTTTAAGAGAACCCCATTCAGGGTACATTAACAAATTGTTTATACGTTGCGGGTTGGGGTTTTCGGGTTACCCGGTCCGGGGGGTACATGTCCTTTTTGGCTTTTTTTGGGTTTTCCCTATGTTAATGAAATTTCCACATAGGTTTTCAACCATTCCAAAATATGCAAGGAATTGAAATTCTACTCTTTTTAAAAAGGGCTTCTACCCCCCGTAAAATTGATCTGACCCCGGGTTGTAAGAAAAAATAGAAACGACCATAATTTATGTTTTAATTTTTATTTAAATTTTTTATTTTCTTCTTTTAAACGGGAAAAATTGCCCCGGATTTAGACGCAGCCCCCCTTGTTAATGAAACCCGGGAGGCGAAAAATTTTTTCAAGTTTTTCTTTGGAATAAAAAATAACAGTATTTTGGGTGGGTTTTAAAATCTTCAGGGGAAAGTGAAATAATAAACCCTTATTGTATTTGTTTTTAAATAAAAAAAAGTTTTTTAAAATAAAAAAACAATCTTTTGGGTATTTGTTAAAAAAAATAATGGAAATAAAATTCAATTTTGGTAGTCTAGACTAAATGCTTGTTTTTAATGGAAAAAATTTTTAGTGTTTGAAAAAAATTTTTAAAAACTAAGAGATTGGGGGAAAAATTTTGAATTACTTAATAGGGTTAACTTTTCTGATGGGATTCGGGGTTTGGGTTTCCTTTAAGGGGGGGTCCAAGCAAAAATTTTCTCCAAAATTTGCCCTTTAAATTTAATTTGTTTGTTTGAAAAATTTGGAAAAAAAAAGGTTTTTTTTATGTTTTATCAAAATTAATAGAGAAATTTAACCCTTTTTTTAAACGGGAAAAAATGAGAAAAATTTTTTTTTAATGTACCAGAAAAATGCAAAGATAAAAAATTTTTTAAAAGTCTGAAATTCAAAATTTGGGAAAGATTTTAATTTTGACAGGATTTTGTTTTCCCGAACAAAAAATGCTTGCTCACGATTTGGCTTTCTTGATGCCCTTTTTTAGGGGGATGGACAAATAAACATACGCCACAATTTTTAAGTTCTAAAATAAAAACTTTTTTTTTGAGTATTTTTTTTCCCTTTAAAATTTTAAATTCTAACATCAAAAATTTTTTAAGATGTTTTTAAATTTAATTTCCCCTTTTTTTTTTTCCCCTCGTTTTAAAATACACAAAATTCAAATTCCCTTGTGACCAAAACGCCGCTTTTTCCCTAAAAATAGAATTTGTACATAAAGGTTAAAGGGAAAACCCTATCGTTTTTTAACACATTGAGATTTTCTTTTTAAATTTTTTTTCCCATTTTTTTTACTTAAACCCAGTACTGGGGGCCATGGAGGGTTAATTTGCATCTTCTTTTTCTGTCCCTCATACCCTCAATCAAAGGGAGCTTTTCAACTTTTTCCCAATTTTGCTTTTTTGGGGCTTTTTTTTAGATTCTAAATATGTTGTTTAAATTTGGTATGGGGTTCAAAAAATTTTAAAAATTTTTAATTTTTTATGTACCTTGACTACTGTAAAGATTTTCCTTGCTGAGCCCAAAAAGTACAGGGGTGTTACAAAGCCCAGCAAAAAAACCCGATGGGGCTTTCTTCTTACCCAGAGTTAGAAAAAGATGAAAAGGCCATTCGTCCCCCCAAAACCCAAAGTATTTACACAAAAGGGCCGTCGTTTTCAGTAACTTTTGCCTACCCCCATTTTCCCCAGTTAGGGAATTTTTGGTTAGGCGCCCGGAACCCACATAACCATGGCATTTTAACGGGGGCCGTAAAAAAAAATTTTTGTCCCCCCTACTCACCATCAACGCTTTTGGGGGTTTGGTGGGTTAATCCCAGAAAAAAAAAGCGCAACTAAAAGCAAGGGGGCAAACAAAAAAACCCAGGCAAAAATCAATTTAAATCAAGGCCCAGTGCGCAATAAGGGGAAAAAGAAGGGGGCTTTAAATTTAAATTTTGTAGCGTCTGGGGTTTTACTTTTTTTAAATGAAGGGCAATATGTTTTTTTTGTAACAAAAGTTTTATACAAATCCGTAGAAAATTTTTTCCCAAAATTGGATTGAAAAACCACATTACCCCCATCTAGGGTAAATGGTAAAGTGCACAAGTGGAAAAAAAAAAAAAAATTTTCCCTTTGTTTTTATTTTTGGCGAAAATATCAATTATGTTTACTTTAAATACCCCAGGTAACTTTCAATTTATAAAAAGAGGGGGACGGTTTTTTTTTTTTTTTTATCAACGACTATAAAAATTTTCCCAACCCTTTTTAAATTTTTTAAATTTGTTTAGCTTTTTCTTAAACGTTAAAAATGAGCAAAAATTCACCCATTACTGTATTTTAACAAAAACCCAAAATTTTAATTTTGCTAAGCCATTTCTGATACTTAATCATGTTTATCCCCTTTTTTTTTCAGACTAAAATTTTTGTACTAAAAACATGAAATTTTAAATTTTGGTTTAAAATAAAAGTAAAAAAAAAAAGGGGAAGGGGTTTTAATTTTGTTTAAAGGGAAGGGAAAACAACATAAAAAACAAAGGGAAATTTTGGCCTAAAAAAGACTTATACCCCATTTTTGGGGTTTTACCCAACAAAACCTTTTTTCCAACACTTTTAAATTTCAAAAAAAAAAAAATTTAAAGAGTTTCCCCAGCTGTTGTTGGCCTGACAATGGACTCTCACTTTTGTTTACAAAGGGGAAAATTTTTTGGTTTGCTCCACAATACAAGGAGTTTTTTGGTTCGCTTTCAGAAATAAAACCCAGATTTTGGTCGTTTTTTAAACCAATTTCCCAAGCAGATGTGGGCGCTTAAAGAAATAACAACAGATTTTTGGTCGCAATAAGCAATACAAAAGGGGGGAGGGGGGTTGCTTCTCAGCAAAAACCAAGCAGTTTTGGGTCCTTCGGCAGGTTAGGAGTTAATGTTAAAACCTTTGGCCTAAACCCCACCCTCTATTTAAATGGATAAAATTTTTTTGATAATATAAAAATTAAGAATAAAAAAAAAAGGACAAAATTTGGAAAAAAGGGTTTAAGGGTTTATGGTAAATCAGTATCCAGAGAACATTTCATATGAAAGCCATCTTGGGATATCCCACCATTGCCCAAAATTTAAATTTATGTGCTTTTAACAAAAAACTTTTGAATTTAAATGAAAAACGGGGAAACCGTATCATACAATCACGGGGGAAACCCCTTTCTTTATCATAAACAAAATGATTAGGGCATGTTTTTGGGCCTTTCTACTATAAGCTTCGGTGAATTTTCTTTTGGAGATGAACTTTTGTTACTAAATGGGGTAGGGTTTCCGTTACGGGCCGAAATAAGATTCCAGAGATGTATCTTAAGCTTTTCCCTTCTTTAAAATTTATAACCCAAAATTTAAAATTTAATTTTTTCCAGGGGGCCAAAAATTTTAGGTGTTACCCTTTAGCTTTAAAATACAAATTTTTGGGCCCTATTAAAACGAAATTTGTAACAATTTTTTTTTTTTAAAAAAATATAACAATTTCATCAAATTGAAATGAGGGTTACTTTTGAAATTTTGGTTTATTTGTTTGTTGGCCACAAAAATTTACACAAAACATTTATAAAAGGGGATGACAGTAGAGAGCAAGAAAAATTTCCCTCGAAAAATCAAATTAAAAAGAAAAAACTTTAGTGCTTATCATTTTAAAGAAAATGTTACCCCTTTTTGTTAAAGGCGGGCCCAAATTCTTTCACGAAATGTTTTTTAAAATTGAAAAAACTTTTTTTGGAAATAAGTTATCCCCGGGTTTTATTTCCGCAAAATTTTGAAAAAAAGGGAATTTAAATTAAAAAGCAATGCCGAGTTTAAAAACACTTTCAAATTTATTTAACCTAAGTTATCGTTACCCCTGGGGTTTTCCAAACCCCCGTAGTTTGAGTGGGTTTTTCCCTTTGAGCAAGAAATTTTACATTTTTTTCCAAGGGTTTGGTTTTGTCTAAAAATATAGGTTTCTAGAAAAGGGGAAAAAAACTAAAAAAAAAACCCACGAGTTTAAAATTTCCCCATGGTTTCCCTTTCGTAAAAAAATTTATCCTTTTTTGGAAAAATAATGTTTTTTTCTAATGTTTAAAGGGATGGTTTTAAAAATTTTGTATATTTTACAATCCCTTTTTTGTGCGGGACAATATCTTTCTTAAAATTTCCATCAAAATATGACCTTTTATTATGGGGGCGGTTTTGTGCAGAAATTGAAAATTTAGACTTTAAAACCCTACCCACACGTCACTGAACAGGTTTCCCCTTCCATTTTTTCCCCAAAATTTTAGCCCAACCACCATTTTTTAATAAAAAAAAAATTTTTAAAAGGAAAATTCATCTGTAAAATTAGTGTCTTTAAAAAAAAATTGAAAAAAATAAAATTAAAAAACCCCGATGTTAAAAAAAACTTTAAAATTTGTTTTTTGAAATTAATTAGATTTGAAAAAATTAAACCAGTACATGAAATTACGCACGTTGAAGCAATTTGTTTTTCTTACAAACATTTTAAAAAACCTTTTCTGTTTTTCATTTTTGTTTTTAAAAGGGAAAAAATTTTTGATTAAATAAAAAACACACAAAAAGAACAAAAAAAAAATTTACCCCTTTTTTTTTCCCCCAAAAAAGGTTTTTTTAACTTTGGGGGGAAAAAAAATTTCAAAATTTTCGCCCTTTCATTTATAATTATGCATTCCCCAATTTTTTTTCTTTCATTCCGGAAAATTAAATTTCAACCATTATTTAACCCAAATTTTATTGGTTGACAAATTTTGTTAGCTCGAGTAGTAAAAAATATGAACTTTTTTAACAGTTGGGGGAAGGGTTTTTAAAAATTTTTTCGTTTATTTGTTTCATTTCAGTGTTAAATTATAAAATCTTTTTTTCTGTAAACGTCAGATCGTAGAGATGCAAATCCAAAAGCGCATACGTATGTAGGGCCTAACTTCTTCCTTTAAATTAACACTAGTAATATAATCTTCACATTGCATAATGTAAGATTTTTTAGTAAAACATACACATTATCCTAAATTTTTTATGTTATTTTATGATAAATAAAGTTAATAGGCGCTATGAATACGTGCATGTGCAAGAGAACTGCAACAGCGACACCTACCGGGAGCAGGCACTGATGCAGGAGGAAAAGAGCAGGCACATATAGTTTGGGTGGAACTATCAAAAATGTCTACGAGACTGAGATGTGTGCTTAAAGGAACAATATGCCGCAGAAATCCTTTTTTTTAATTCATTAGAACTCTCACAAATGTTGTTAATGATGTTTTGATAATGGATTAAGAGCATGTAAGCTATTTAGCTGCTGAAGAAAGTAGCGCATTGCAGTAATGTTATCATAAAGGTAGCAAACTGTAAACAAAGTGGTATTTTGACTTCCATACAAAATACTTATTTACTATAATTATACCAATTATTGACAAAACAGCAAAAGAAGCAAAGATGGCAAATGGAAAGCCGTTTGATAAGGTATCATTTTTTTTTAGAAATATAATTCATAGCGTTTTATTAATGAGGCATTATGGGCCCATTAAGAGGACAAATCCGATTTTAGACTGTTTTGACTGCATGGTCGTATTTAAAACTGGCGATTTGTTCTTTATGTATATAAACTGTAGAAAATTCCGAAGAAAAATCACAATTTTCTCGAGATAACCGTGAAAAATAGTTTTCTGATTCCGATGCAGATTCAATTTTGTACAAATTTGGTGGATCTTCCTTGCAGTAATATAAGATCCTAAGCCTTAACCCAAATATAATGTCCAGGAGTAAAATGGTCGTTTTTCGAACTGTATATATTTTATAAAAACAGCATATTTTCGAGTTAACCCTGAAATCATTTGTCTGATGTCTTTACAGAAATATATGGCCCAAGCCCTAACACAAGTACAACTCCTGTACATTTCCTCGTGGCATGTTCGTTTCTTATACCGGCGATTTGTTATTTCCGTATTTATTATGTAATAATTTTTGTAAAACAAGAGCCGGTTGAACCGGGTGATGCTCCCTGAATAAGTTTTGGACACAAGAAGGTATACCTCTTGTAATGTCAGAGTTATGTCACAGACAAAGTTTAAAGTGTAAAAGCAACCCAAATGTTGCTCGCTACACGTCGTCTCAATATGGTGACCATTTCTGTGAAATAGTTGTAAAATCCGACTTCAAATAAGGAAGTAATGGGCTGGACACGATTTTGCTGCAAAGTCATGCTGTGACATTGACCTTCAAGGAAGCGACCCAAATATTGCGCGCGACACGTCGTCTCAATATGACGATCATTTCTGTGAATTAGTTGTTAAATCCGACTTCGAATAATGAAGTTATGGGCCGGACATGATTTTGCTTCAAGGTCATGCTGTGACCTTGACCTTCAAGGTAGCGATCCAAATGTTGCGCGCAACACGTCGTCTCAATATGACGAATAATGAAGTAATGAAGTTATGGGCCGGACATGATTTTGCTTCAAGGTCATGCTGTGACCTTGACCTTCAAGGTAGCGATCCAAATGTTGCGCGCAACACGTTGTCTCAATATAGTGATTATTTCTGTGAAATAGTTGTAAAATCCGACTTCAAATAACGAAGTTATGGGCCGGACACGAATTCGGGACATACGGACGGACTGACAGACGGAAAGACGATGGACAAACCGAAAAATCAATTTTGATTGGTGGGGCTTCGTTAATATAAGAAATGTGAAACGCAAGTGTATCCATTTTGCCTAGTTCATGACAGAAATAAAGATAAACACTAAATATTGTTTTCAGATTAATTATTTTTTGGTGTAAGATAAGATATAATAATTTGTAATTGATTTAGAGTACGCAATACTTAACATGTTTATCAGTACGCTATTGTCATGCTGAATTCATACCTGGACAAAGTTGTTTTAACTATGTCTTTATATCAGTGCGTCTACCGATGCAATCAAGTCCGCCATTGGTTGGAGGAGGATCGTAACATTGTCTTGTTCTTGTCTGGGTCCCATTTTCACAAGTGTCGTCACATGTAGACCACGGAGACCAGCTAGCCCAATTCCCATCCACTGTTTAAAAGGATTAGAAGTATTCAAATATAATATGCAAAATAAATGAAAATCAAATATTATGATCTTGGAGAGTATTACTGAACAACAGCAAGTCAAAACATGTTGAATGCAAATAATGTCCATTTATGCCTACATGGCCTAGTAACGAATATTTATGTCTACTTGTACATAGTATGTATATTTCATATGAATCTTGGTTATTGGTAAAAGAAAACGGTTATTTTGAAAGAGTGTTATAGCATAGAAAAGCGTATCATATAAAATTAGCCACTCTAAAAATAAGTCTCGAAATTGAAACCTGAGAAATCATTAACCACATTGATTATGATTTGTAACCGAAAAAAACAAGTGTAGTAAGTCAAAGCGTTAAGCTTACCAAGTGAACACAGTGAGCAGAATTTTGCACAGATTAACTTGGCTCGATGAATATCCTTACAAATATTGAAAAAGCTATTTAGAAAAGCACAATCCACTGTCACATCATCAATACATGCTCCGGCTGAAATATAAATAGTAGCCACCCTAATAGTGCTATCAACGTATTTGCAATTATTCCGTATGTAGACAATGGACTCTTTCATAGGACAACCACAACTAAAACTCAGTAAATATCGGCTTATATCGGTAATGCTCGGTGATATCTTTAAAACCCCATACATTGTTCTTGCCTCCTTTCGGCAGTGTTCGAATATGTAATGTTAGTTGTTGTTATTATTTTTGTCACGTGATAGGATTTTTTACATTATGATATCATTTCTTGACCATTTTATAATTTAATGTTAAGAAAAACGAATGATCAGTTTGTCTTTTTATTGTTCAGTTACCAAGAAATATTTGAAAGGATGAGCTTACGTGTCAAATGTGAACACAGATCTTTATTGCATCTATCTTTACTACAACATTTATGGCAGTCCAAAGTTTGTCGCCCACTTATCTCTCGACCGATCAAATTTCCGGCACCACTGGCACTTACTCCACATAACTGTAAAATGGAAATATGACTTATAGACAAGAAACTATAAAAGTGGACAGTACAGGCATATTGGTATCCAGATATGTCTTGTACAGTTTGATTCTGCGATTGTTGCAAATTGATAAAATTTTGAAATTTTACTAATTTCCGGTAATTTGAACAAATATCTTATATTCATATTGTTGGTTTAGAACAACTAAGATGATACTTTTTCTTAGAGGAGAACGGAAGTTTATTGTAAATTATGTCACTTATTTTGCTATACACTAGTTTTATATGAACCAAACCAAATTTTAGAATTTTGCTAATTTTGTAAAATTGTTTTTGGTATATCTCTTGCCTACCTGATTGTCTGTACATTTGAGGATGCTTCTTTGTCCTGTTAATTTTACTTCTATGTGACAAGACTATAAAAGTACAAGTAAATTAATATCATAAAAAGCGTTTATATAGTCAATGACGAATAATTTAATAGTGATAAGTGATGAAATGGTCTCGTGGTTATATAACCCTTTTCTGAGTTTTGTCTCAAATCTCAGGAATTTAATTGGTCAATGAATACCCGAGTTCTGAAATTTCTTTGTTACTTTGAATCCTTGGAATTTTATTGTCATACTAAAGGTATCTTCTGACTATTAATATATTATTTTTCTCTCATTGACAATAACCTGACCCTCATTCGTCTATATTTACTTTAACATTATTATATTCAATAACGTGTCGATATTTATCAGAATAGTATTATATTATGCGAACTTGTACATTTCTTTGACCAATATGGCATTATGCTGCTGTTAGATATTTACCTGACCGGCATGACATTCTGTCACTGTCAGACATTCATCAACGTCAGCAATGTCGGTACAATTGTAACACTGCAAGGCGTCTAAAGTAAATGTTTTATAATAAAATACAATGAACTATTTAGATTGTTTTATAAAATGCTACTGTGTTATCGTCATAGTAAAGTTTAGCTTCATTTGTATTATTACCTAGCGTTCTACTTAAAGTTAAAAAACTGTAAAAAGTGACGCTAGATAAAAAGTAGTCCAGCAAACAGGTTCTCATTTTACCATTTGATCTGAGCAATATACGGTACTTTGTTTTAGGACCGAAATTGATACAAGTGATACAATGACAGAGAGTCCTATATTTTGTTAAATTATCGACATTTCAACAAGAGATTGCCCTCAAAGTTCTAAAGTGTCTTTATAAAAAGAGGTTATGACCCTACTTTTTTAAGACATACTGCATGCTTAGTGTTCAACCCTTTTACAGTTGGACACTACGCTTTCCACTTTTGATTACATCTGACGGACCAAGTGGGAGACTCTATGATTGACAGTTCTTAAAGCCCTTTGGGACTGTATTGTCTTAATGTTCGTCTTCTGCATTGCCTCGTCAGGCCCTTGTAGGTGATTTTCTTGTTGCTCTGTCTTCCTTTAGGACATTGAGTACTTTTGTTATGGTCATTGGGCTTTACATTTATATGTTTCTACATTATAATTTGGTGTTTTACTTATTTAACCTTTTGTAACCATACCAACTGTTAGAATTTCACTTGGCGGGGATTCATTTTATTTACACTGTCTCTTTTATAGGAAGATGGTGGTGCTAAGAGTGAGGTTTGGTGCACCATTTACCGGTTTAAACTCCCCAGCAGTACTTGTGCTGCTGACCGTTCCAAGGCGGCGCCACTCTGTTTTCCTCAGATGTATGTTTTGGTGATACTTTTGCTTGTGTCCCTTGTTGTTTTCTCGTCTACGGTAAGTATCTTCCCCTTTGCCCCTAGTCTTATTTCTTTAATTTACTCCCCAACTCCCCCATTCCCCGGGTCTCCTGTCCCCTTCCCCTGTGCCCATTGACTTTGTGGGCCTATTATTCAATCATTTATTTGTTTTCTGTGCATTTCTTATCAGTTACAAATTATTGCCTATTATTTAATCATTTATTTGTTTTCTTTGAATTCCATATCAGTTACAAATTATTTATCATTTGTGATTAGCCTGTCCATGCTGTGCCTTGTGCTCTGTCCTGTTTTTGATTGGGGTCCGCCTGGGCTCCTTGCCACTGGTTCTTTTTGCTGGGTCGCATGGGGGTTGCGTTCATTGAACGCCGCCTTTCCTTGTTGATCTTGTTTATCATATTTTATGCTGGCTGGTAAAATATTGTTAAAATCATTATCTTACTTGTTTAAGAATACAACCAAATAAGTCTTAACTCTTACGTTGTCAAGATTAGACAATTTATTACATTTATCTTACATTAAAAGATTTCCACTCAGGTCCAAAATCCCCAGGAAAGAAAATTTGACTTTCTTACATATATTAACTGAGAAAGTTAAAACGTAAAAATTCCGAAAGGTAAGAAAGCAATTCCCTAAAAATAAAATTGCTAAGTCACTTTTCATTTTTATGCAATTTTGCACAATAGAATTAAATGATTTTCTGGCAAATCAGTGAGCAAATGATCTGAAAAATTGCATCGCAAGCCAAGACTTAAACTACATTGTACAAAAATATCGTATTGAAACCATGCAAGAAATACACATCAAGGGAGATGATGAACACTTCATTTATGTGTATGGTGTTAATTTTTTGTTAGTACCCATGCGAATTTTAAAAGGACAAATGTACTAACAGACTACTGTAAAATAAGTGTGACCATTAATAGAACGACTAACGTGTAGTAGAATATATAGTTTGTTTTCATAATCGATTAAATATATTTTGAATTTAAATTACAAACGTTCCAAATGACACAGGGGTAGGATGCTTGCGGACAATTGCTGATTATAACCTTAAGTGTTGTTGCAATACACATTTTGTTGCATTTCGCTTCATTTTCGTAAAGAAAAACATGCAGTTTAAGCTTTTCCTTGGTTAATATCTCTATCTATAAAGAAGAATATCTCTACCTGCCTTTATATCATTAGGTACAGTACCTTGTATTAGTGCCAAAATAACAATATGTGTTGAAGGACATGTGTTTTTAGATGCAAAAACTATAATAAAACGAGACGAGATACAGTCATCAAAATTTAAAACAGTTATTTCAGTTATCAACGAAAAAGAATAATCTTTTAAATAAATAAATAAAACCCTTCAGATGAAAGAAAAATGATCAAACTGCGCGCATGAACTGTTTAATTATGTAGGTATTTTTGCAGTAAGATTTGATGAAAAAGTCAATATATTTATACGTCATCTACCTTGCGTTTATCAAAGTTGGTTACTACCTTTTACATGGTAACCAAGCTTTTTGAGGTATTTCCATAATGTTAAAGAATCATTATTATATTTTTAACAATTTTTGTCATTTGCTGTGATTCTACATATTTTATGTTCTAAAAATTTCTTCGTTTTGTTTTTGATACAAATAAAAAACGTTATCATGTAAATATTCTATAATCCTCGTACAAATATAATTTCATCCGTTGTTCAGTACGCATTTCCCGAACAAGGGCAATGTAATCAATAAAAGTTAAATGTTAAATCATTTGTGCTTAACCTCAGAGTGTTTCGTTATGATTTTATAACTAACAATGCCGCGACTATGAGAAATAAATAATACGGACTAACTTTCTATAAAACGAAGATAAAGAAAAGTGATAAATATCAGTATACTGGTGAATCAGACATCTAGACAACCAGTTCATACGGTTACTATTTTCATATATAGCACTATAAACCATAAGTGCATTTAACAAATTCATTTGAATGTTCATATAAAACAATAACTGTATCTGCACTATTACATGGATACACATTTTATAATATACAAGTAAAATAAAATAGAAGAGAAATATGACAAAAAAGAGATAAGTTTATTGATGAATCAGATATCCAGAGAACGAGTGCACAAGATACCAATTTTCAAACATAGATGATAACACGCAGCTGTGAGTGCATTTAACATATACTTTTGAATGTTTATGTAAAATAGCAACTGTATCTGCACTATTACATGACTCACTATAATGATCGAATACATATAGGGTAGCATATGCTTTCCCATCTACTGTGAGATCTACTATGACTTCTTTTTGGGCGATCGCGCAAATCTGTACACTAAATGAATACGTTCCATTGACAGGCGCAGTGAAGATTCCAGTAGATGTATTATAAGCGTTTCCTTCATTCACAAGTGTAGAGCCAAATATTACAGGGCCTCCAGATCTTACGTTTGTTAGATTATTGGCTTTAAATACTACATTTGGACCTGTAAAACAAAATTTGTCACATACGTTCAAACCCCGTCATGGGTGGGCCAATGTTACCTTAAGCAAAATATTTTACACTCATTGCTCAGTACTGGATTGTTCCAGATGTGTGTTTATAAGCTATAGGTTTCCTTGAAGATCGAACAAAAATTAATTCTGTATACACAAAAAGACACGAGATTACAATGACGCGATGGTTTGCAATTAAATACAAAACAAAATGCGTTTATGATGTTCTAAAGACTATTTTAGGATGAAAATCAATGTTTATGTTATAATGCTAATGGGTGTTATATAAATTTTACCAAATGTCAAACTACAACTGCGTTTTGTGCAGACAACATCTTCTAAGGAATTTCCATCACAATATCGACCATTTATTGACGGTGGCGGATTTGTGCAGGTACGTGATCTAGACTTTAATCCGTCGCCGCACGTCACAGAACATGTGGTCCATTGTCCCCAGCCAGTCCAACCACCATCTTAAATACAACACATCATTTATACGAAAGTCATCTCTACAATTTTGTTGTCTCTTAAATGTCGAGAAGAAATTCTTTAAATAAACGACGTGGTTAACATCTTCAAATGATTTCACATTTAATTAGATTTAAAGGATAGCAGCTAGTATGAGGAATGATCTAGAAATACCCAGCATTAAGCCATATATTTTATATTGTATATTAAATGTTCATGTAAAAAACACTGTATTAATGCCTTATATATCCTATTTACAAGGAAACAAGAATTATAACAATAAAACACATTATGCTCACCACATGAATCT